ATAATCGGGGGGGGGCTGTTATAGGTTGTGTCGTGAGGCGTTGGGTATAGTGGCTCCCTTTATTGGCAGTTATATATATGGTTCCTTATATACTATGCTACACAGTATTAACAGTGGTTGATCATTAATGGTTGTTGACCGTTAATAGTAGTTGGTCATTAATAGTTGTTGATTAATAGTTGTCCATTAACAGTTGTCGAGCATTAATAGTTATTGATCATTAATAGTTGTCGATCAATAATAGTTGTTTCCCATTAATAGTTGTTGACCAATAACAGTTGTCGACCCATGTACAGTGAGGGGACAACTCAACATTCACACAGCCACTTGCTGCGACCCAGTAATGTTGTGACCTTAAAGAGCAGGATAAAGAAGTGTAGTGTAGTGTAGTGTAGTGTAGTGTAGTGTAGTGTAATGTAGTGTAGTGTAGTGTAGTGTAGTGTAGTGTAGTGTAGTGTAGTGTAGTGTAATGTAGTGTAGTTTAATGCAGTGTAGTGTAGTGTAGTGTAATGTAGTGTAATGTAGTGTAGTGTAGTGTAATGTAGTGTAGTGTAGTGTAGTGTAGTGTAGTGTAGTGTAGTGTAATAAAGAAGGCTCAGCTGAACTTTATTGATATCTCAATTTCAGTCGAACATTCATGTATCATTTTGTTACAAAAAAGGACAGTTAATGGGTTCGTAATGGGGGGGGGATGGGGGTTAATGATGGTCTATGGCTCGTTACAGTCTGTTCCTGCTGGCATGATGGACCATTCTGGTTACTGTTGCACTTGCAAATTATCTCTGTCTCTTATCTCTTATCTCTTATCTCTTATCTCTTATCTCTGTTCTCTTATCTCTGTTCTCTTATCTCTGTTCTCTGTTATCAAATTATTATTGTCTGTCTCTTGCAATACTTGCACTGATGAGAGTTTCTTACAATATTAATAGTTTCTAATTCCAGAACTAACGGCTTCTACAGGACGTAATTAGTATGGAAGTGAGCGTGGAATATATGGGGGTCTACTTGATTTAATCGACTGTTGATGTTGGCGTCATAGGGAAGTCATTCGTCGATAAGCTTAACAGGCTTCTTGTCCCCTGACGATGGCGATCCATATTAGGCCCATGTATGTATTTAGGGTGACCTGAAACCTATGTATAGTGACTATATACGGTGAAATTATTATAGATATTGTGTTGTAAGCATTTATGGTTATGTGTGGTTGATTTACCTGGAATGCATAAGTTATTAGCCTTGAGGAGGAAAGGGGTAGGAGGAATGTGGTTGTTGCTGGGTCGTCTTGAAGTGTTTCAGTGTCTGGACTCCCAGGTGAGGCCGTGTAGGTAATTCCTACCTTCTTCTCTTACCTGTTCCTTACCTTACACCTTACCTTCTTCTAGGAATTACCTTCTTCTCTGCTATTGACCGTCCTCTAATGGTTTCGTGGAACGGTAAAATGCTGAATTGATAAGTATTTTGCGTCATTTTGTGAGGAATGACGTAGTTTGCGTCTCCATGTGAAAACTGACGTATTTTCATGGAATGAGTTTCTCTGCCTCGGATGGAATTGACGTATTTATATATCATCAAGTACCGTATTGCCCAACAGCCTTTTAGGTCTGCATTAGTTAGAACTGCTCACAGGGTTTGACTTGCTATGACTAAAAGAGTGCAACAATACCGTCAACTCTCTCTCTCTTTCTCTCTCTCTCTCTCTCTCTCTCTCTCTCTCTCTCTCTCTCTCTCTCTCTCTCTCTCTCTCTCTCTCTCTCTCTCTCTCTCTCTCTCTCTCTCTCTCGGAATGTCAACACACAATCAAAGAAATACAGTAATAGGTAATAGAGATTTTTATAGGACCAAGGCAAATACAGAACCAGGTATGTGGCTCACTGGAGAGGGCTATGTAGAGCCCTGGAGAGTAATATATAGAGCCCTCTAAGTAGGTCATTATCAAAAGAAGGCACCAAGTCACGGAGACTTTGCAGCACTATCGTAGAGCTCTGTTGAAAACTATGAGAAGTACTCTGTAGCTTCCTGTAGAGTGCTATGTAGAGTACTAGATATGTTATGCTCTGTAGAGAGCTAATTAGTAACTTAATTAGCCATATTGATAGTGACAATTTTTATTTCGGATTAAGAATTCCTGTCAACTGTATACTGTTTACATCAGGGGAGGGAGACAGTACAGGAGGCAGGTCTTTTCAAGAGGATATACTCGTCTGTTAGGGATCACAAGGGGTATATTTCCTGTCTAGGTCTATACCTCCCATCGAGACTTACACCAGGGTATATATATACCTCTTGTCGAGATCCCCCACACAGAGTATATTTCCAATCAAAGTTCCCACAAAGTATGCCTCACAACGAGGTCCACATAGAGTATATTTCATGTCGACAACCTCACAAAATTTACTTCGTGTACAGATTCCCCACAGAATATATCCCCCCATTTGGAATTCTCACAAAGTATAACCTCCAATTCTAGATACTAGTACCATGAATCACCTGGACCTGGAGGAGTGATGTGTACTTGACTTAACAGTGCATTGTATATGTGATAACTGCACGGAATGCAGATTGATATAGGGGGGTCTGATTGGACGATTGCTCTGAGTTACAACTGGAGGACGACAACTTGTTCCCACCATCAGGTCATGTCAGCTTACACCTGTGGTGGGGTTATATTGCTTTGGTAAATGAGAATCTCCTTATTAATGAATGAAATTGATGGAATATATTAAAAACAGATGAAATAGGGAACACAAATTCTGAATCAGGGGAGATGTGATAATATAATGTTGTACTAACTAGATGATATGTCTCATTCATTACTATGGTGAGTGTTGGACTTTGAACCTTAAAAGGGGAGGAGATTAGAGCAATTTGTGGTGGAATCTCCCGAAGATCTGTGTGAATTGGCTTTGTTTTTTAGATCATATTTTAGAAAACAATTTCACTGGTGATTTCGTTATTAAGTCGTGTAAATTAGAACCAAAATACATACGAAAGTATGTAGCTTATAGACCAGACCCCACACTAGAAGGTGAAAGGACGACGTTTCGGTCCGTCCTGGGCCATTCTCAAGTCCACAATCGACTTGAGAATGTTCCAGAACGGACCGAAACGTCGTCGTCCCTTCACCTTCTAGTGTGTGGTCTGGTCAACATACTTTAGCCACGTTATTGTGACTCATCGCCTGCATGTAGCTTGTACATACGAAAGTATGTAGCAAGTATGCATGTATTCTGTATGAACGTATTAAGATCTAACCTGTACCTTCGAGGATAATACCCATGATTTGTGTTCTTCATTAACATATGTTCTCAGTATAGTAAAGAATTGTTCATTAAAGGCGTGAGAGAGACGAATTGGTGGTTAGCGATTAGAATATTAGCACGAATATCACTCATTTGTTCTTTCTGGAGTTCATGATGGAACTTGGTAAACAACTCCTAAGGTTGCTGATCAACTGGGTTGTGATTTAAGTCTGTCTAACATCTGGTGTATTGTATAGCACCTGGTGTAGTGTATAGCACCAGGTGTAGTGCCTGGTATAGCACCTGGTGTAGTGTATAGCACCAGGTGTAGTGCCTGGTATAGCACCTGGTGTAGTGTATAGCACCTGGTGTAGTGCTTGTAATAGCATCTGCATCAACAAGCTCCCACATTCTGATTCATTATACATTAACAAATTTATAACATAAATATCTATATCATAAAATTATTTCTATACGTATATTATTAATATATTAAAATATGTATATAATTGTCAAGACACTGAGAATTCATCATGTATATAACTTAATTATTTCAGGAAATAAAACAACAGGAAACAATCAACCATCAATAAATCTGAAGATTTCAGAGACAATGCAAAATTGTGGTGACTTTATTGAGGAATTTTATTACTTAATAACTGTTAATTGTATTTCTTCCCATACAAAGAACTCATGTGTGTGTGTCTTAACTTCTATGTATCCTTCCTCTCGTTCCGCTTTTGCTGAACATACTGTCTCTATACATGCCATCGATTCTCGTGAATATTTTGTATGTCAAGCTCATGTCCTCCCAATTCTGGTATATGCTATGTAATTAGTTTCAGCAGCCTTTAGCAATGTAGCTTAGTCTCCTTATTTTTTGGACTAATTTTGTACTGAACCACTGTATTTCATACAACTTGGCTTGCTATTTTTTTTATAAAAGAGGGTTGTAAGCTGATACAGCCTACAGTATCACTGTATCACTGGGGTTACATATGTCCAAATACTGTACTGAAACCGCCCGTGTAATTTCCTAAAGGCTTTTTAATTATGCTGGATTTTACCTTTCTCAAGATAATTACTTCAACTTACCTTAGCATAGAGTGAGTGACTCTGGGGCCACGACGTCCTCCAGAGGTTGGTCCTGTGAAATACTGCTCAATGGCTCGGTCGATAGACCTTCGGCATCACAGACGTGGGGTCAGGGTTCGAGTCTTCTAGGACCCAGGTGAATGGAGGGTTGATCCAGTGTTGGGCTGTTTGCAGCCTCCTTGGCAACTTCTACTTATTGTCCATCTGACTTCCTTACATTTAGTTTTAATCCTGATGTGTGTGTGTGTGTGTGTGTGTGTGTGTGTGTGTGTGTATGTGTGTGTGTGTGCGTGTGTGCGTGTGTGTGTGTGCGTGTGTGTGTGTGTGTGTGTGTGTGTGTGTGTGTGTGTGTGTGTGTGTGTGTGTGTGTGTGTGCGTGTGTGTGTGTGCGTGTGTGTGTGTGTGTGTGTGACAGCTGTCATTTAATGTTGAATTAATATTAACTGTATTAACTGGTTACAATCGTGTTGAAGTAGGCAAGCTATCAATATTTATAAAGATATCTTTATGGCCTTTTGTCTATAAATAAATATATATTATATATATATATATATATATATATATATATATATATATATATATATATATATATATATATATATATATATATATATATATATATATCTAGTCTTAAATCATTAATTTGAGGATCAATGAAAAATAAAATCTCGTACACATAGACACTTTATTATATATATATGATTCGATATTCAATCTGTTTTTAAAACTCTGTTCATTTTTCAAAAGATACAAGTAGATATATCCAAGCCAAGGCCTAATTAGGGTATGTGGCTGGTGTATACCCAATCAGATCCCGGCTTTGTGGTATGGGTATTGTGATTGGCTAATTCAAGTGGCTGGAGGAGGGGATCGGCCAATGACGAATACCCACACCGTAGTTACAGCTCATATCTGATAGACAACCAAAAACATGCATGTTATAACATATTTAGTGACGGATCACTACACCTGAACCATATAATATCACACCCAACACATAGGTAAGGAAGAGATGCTACGCTGACCTCGTCTATCCCCTTCACAGAAAACGTGAGTTGGGTATATAACTCATTGAATTTAACCGGCATCAAAAAAAAAAATCGTGATAAGGTGGGGGCAAACTCTTTTATTAAATTTTGAAATGTATTAATGGTAATTGTCGCACCTATGACCAAATGACGTGATGTTATTCCTCCTTAGTGATATGTACACTCAGAATATTTTTTGGGTATATTTATTTAAAGGGGAGCTACCTGGGAGACATTTTGGAGGTCCAGCGGGAGATGTCCTGGAAGAGGAAGATGATGCCGAAGGCATGGAATGGTTACCCCGACGAATGACAGCTACGGGAAACAAGATGGGGTAGTACGCATGGAAGGGGGCGCTGAAGGAAGACAGTAGCAACACACAGGTGTGGGGGAAGTCGAGGTGCACGGAGGTCCCCCCTTCGACGTCGCCGTCGTAGGGGTAAACCAAGCCTGCAGCTGGCAGCTTACTTGCCCCACTGCTGGAAGAGTCCCATACGTTGGCAGCGGCAGTTTGTCCCCCACAGGTTGCACCGGCAGGAGGAGTTGTAGCAGCAGTCGTTGGGGCGGTGGTCGCACGTTCCTCCGCGGCGGATGCACGACCTCCTAAAAAGGTAGATGTAGGAAGAACGTCTGAACAGACAATAAGAATGGCATAATTGGGATGGGTGATGATGGCGATGTTAAAGATGCGACGGTGCTGTACGTCAGGACAGGTGGGGGTTCTGGGACCTGGGACAGAAGAGATTATGGACAGATGCGGCCTTGAACAGATGAGCTCTGGGACACAGGAAATCTTAGACAGAGAAAATCATGTCCAGAAGATATTTTGGACAGAAAACCTTTTCAACGGAGAGCTGGGATAGAGGAGATCTTCAACAGATGAGCTCTGGGACAGAAGAGATCTGGAACAGAGGAGAGCTTAGACTGAAAAGATTTTGGACAGAAGAGGTCTTGGACAGAGGCAATCGTTAGGATAAGTGTTTCAAGATATAAATTAAGTTAGAGAAAATAAATCTTACTCCAAAAAACTGATTCATAGTACAAGATGCATTGAAATTCTTAACGAAAAGAGAGAAACCCAAAACCTTTAAGCCACAAGCTGCATTTTCTACAGTAGGAAAAGAACAAATAATATGAATGAAAAGTTGTACCACTAAATTTGTACCACTAAAGTTGCCATGGCTAGACTGTGGACCAAATAAAACTCTAATTAGAGAACGTCATGTTTAAAAGATCCTCATTCAAATCATACAAATAAAAAGCAATTTGCAAATACAGAGTAGACTAGAACTGCTCGTAATAGCAGTCGAAGTGCAACACATGCAATATGTTTCTCAATATGTGTCTCAGCCAGGCAACTTTGTCGACACCGTTGATGTGTGAGAGTGAAAGCTGACCTTAAGATTTGTTTTAAATCATTCAGTGGCGAATAGTTTGATATATTCTAATTAAGCTTACTATTTTTTGTTATCTAAATATATGTATATGTAAATCATATTATAAGGTTAATTTGTTCATTTGTAAGCAGTTAAGCACTGATGCGTAACAGGTAAATATTTAAGGCTATACTCTGCAGTCTTCATGCAAAATAATAACCCCAGGAGGCTGAGATGCAGTTCTAAATATATATATATATATATATATATATATATATATATATATATATATATATATATATATATATATATATATATATATATATATATATATATATATAGGGGTGGTAGGAGAAGCGAACACTCTTACGTATTCAGAGTTAAATGGCAAGTTTTTCCCTGAATGCTCTGTGTTCCCTTCTCTGAGGCTGTGGGTCCCTATAATTGCACCAGAGGTGGTACCCCCCTATATATATATATATATATATATATATATATATATATATATATATATATATATATATATATATATATATAGTGAGAGAGAGAGAATATGCCCACAATTTCAGAAGATCAATATTGGAAGACTTACATACTGACAACAGATGAAGTTTGTCTACGTTTAATCCTCTTTAATTGTGGTGTTTCTTTACACATTTTCGTATCACGTTTCCCCCTATATTTCTAGGGGCCCATATCTCCCATTTTCCCTCACTTCCCTCCCTTTCAACCCCTCCTCCCCCTTCCCTCTATCTTCCCTCCCTCTCCTACCCTCCTACTATCATTTCCATTTTTGCTTGTGGATCCGCTCTGTCAAAAGAATTAATAATAAAATGTGTAATGGGGATGATACAGGCAGAGCCGCCCTCGCGAGGTAAGCAATATTACCTCAAGCAGAGGCCCCCGTTATCAAATAAGTAATAAGTTTGTGTAATGTGATTGCGTTGGTTCCGAGGCTCCGTATTATTATTATTGTGGCAAAGAGGTCACGAGGGAGCATTGTTTGAGGATATTTATACTCACCAATAATCTCCGAGCTCCGATACATATTCTTTCTTCATATAGAAATATTCAAAAGACCTAAAATTTGCGTGAAATTCTCCTTTGCTCCAAACGCCTCGGCTGTCGGCTGCGTTTTTAGTTAAGATGAAAATTTATATTTTTGGACCTTATTTCTTGAGAGGGGAACAACAGAATATATATTATGTATGATATGCAAAACATGTTGGCAGCCCTTCCTCCACGGTGTTGCCTCCACCAGCTCTCCTGTCCTCTCCTCCACTCCCACCTCACCCCTTACAAGTCCCTATATAAATCCCTATGTAAGTCTCTACATGAATCCCTATGTAGGTCCCTACAAATCCCTACCACAATAGGGAATAGCAACCTCAGAATATTTCCTTTCATTTATATATATATAAAATATATATTTATATATTTGCAGAAATGACGCAAAGGGGATATTAAATCCATCGAAATAAATTTCAATAACTTTTAACTTCACATCAGATTTCATAAAGTATTTCTATTATCTGATATTTGTATATTTTTTCCCTAAGGCGTATTAGACCCACATATCCTTATTAAAATATTACTTCATGCTACGCTAAATATAAAATCCCAGGACAGCCTCCAACTATCTGGATTCTTTAATATTATTATTATTTTCTTGGAGGACGAACTAGATCCACTTATTTCGCATTCATATAGCGTTTTACATTCGGTGGATATGAAAACCCAGGATGTCCTCCGACTCAGCAGTTCCTTCTGGCTATATCGCTCGGGGCGTTGGGACGAGGGAGGGATCGCGAGTTTCGAAGCAGGAATATATTTTGAAGGTTCTGGTTTGCATGGGTGGAGACAGGGTAGGTGGGGAGGGGGCTCTGCCAGGGAGGATATATTCCTTTGCTGAGGAAGTATTGTGTGGGTGGGTGTGGGTGTGTGTGGGTGTGTGGGGTGTTGATATAGGTCGCTGATGTCATCGTCAACAGAGTGATGCGACATCATTCTCTCCCTTGTCATGTCTTTCAGAGACTTTCAAGGGAGTCTATAATATGCTGGAAACAGGGAGAAAGAGTATAAATAGGGAGAGAGAGTGAAAGAGAGAGTAATAAAAGAAACATAAAGGGAGGAGAAACAGAGAGGAAAGAGATCGAGAAACAAATATAAAATGAAACACAGGAAAACAATGATATATAACAACACAGAGAATTAGAAAAAAAATTCATTCTTTTCATTCTCAAACTTCTTATTTGGTTCCTCCTAACGTCTCTTCCCACTCATATTTTCCATTTCCCTCCAGCTCCTCCCTCCCTCCTTTCCAACTAGTCCCTCCCATTTCTGCAACATCACCTTTCCTTCTCACCATATTCTCTCTCTCTCTCTCTCTCTCTCTCTCTCTCTCTCTCTCTCTCTCTCTCTCTCTCTCTCTCTCTCTCTCTCTCTCTCTCTCTCTCTCTCTCTCTCTCTCTCTCTCAGTCCATTTCCCTCGGTTCCTTCAGCTAACCTCCACTTCGCGTCAGACTACGGAAGGCTTTCACTCTGAGGTCCGGGAAAGGAAGTACTCCAACAACCAGGAGGAAAACTGAGCGTAACTTGGAAGTCACCCTTCCATGGTCAAGGAATAGGAGACAGACTAAGAGTTTTTCAATAAGCGCTGGGAGTCTCTTGGGCTCTTGGGTTTTCCTCTGTTGGAGAGTCGAGCCGAGATGGTAAATCTTCTTCCTTTGCCCCTTTCAGTCTTCTCGATGTCCTTGTTAAGGTGACAGATGAAATATTTTTGGAGCGATCAATCAGATCTTCCTGCAGATGTCTGCGTCGCTGCTCTTCGCGGAGCGCTGCGGCCCAGCTGGTGAAACACCAGTAGATAGTCAGCAGACAGCCATTAGACAGCCAGCAGACACCAGCAGACAGCCAGCAGACACCAGCAGACAGCCAGCAGACAGCCAGCAGACAGCCAGCAGACACCAGCAGACAGCCAGCAGACACCAGCAGACAGCCAGCAGACACCAGCAGACAGCCAGCAGACACCAGCAGACAGACAGTACAAGCACGACACCTGTCGCCGTGATCAACGCGGGTGAGAAATGATTCTCACTTGCCTGAACTCCAGCCCTTAATGAGGACGCGTTGATCAAAGGACCTACTCGGGGAAAGGTTCATGGGTGCCGGAGGTTGAGGCAATTGCCTTCCGTCCGATTCACCTGAAATAGCAAGAAATGTTAGCCGGAATATTTCGCCTTGGTTCCATGTTTTGTGTTTTTTCTTTCTCGGGGGTTGGGAGACTTATCCGCGCGTCCAAGGGCAGGCAACATCGCCGTAATGTAGAATTGAAGAGTTCTTAAAATATGTAAACTAGGAAGTCTCAGGAGCCGTTGATAAGTTGCTGTCGATCCGTCTGAGACAGCAAATGGTTGAACCTTTCAGTTCAACAGTTGCAAGTGCTAGAATTCCTACAGATCGAGGAGTGCCAGACCAACCGGGCTGTGGTGGGTATGTGGGCCTGATGGCCGCTCCAAGCAACAGCCTGGTGGACCAAACTCTCACAAGTCAAGCCTGACCTCGGGCCGGGTTTGGGAGTAGAAGAACTCCCAGAACCCCATCAACTAGGTATATGTGGGCCTGAGGGCCGCTCCAAGCAACAGCCTAGTGGACCAAACTCTCACAAGTCAAGTCTGGCCTCGGGCCGGGCTTGGGGGAGTAGAAGAACTCCCAGAACCCCATCAACCAGGTATATGTGGGCCTGCGGGCCGATCCAAGCAACAGCCTTGTGGACCAAACTCTCACAAGTCAAGCCTGGCCTCGGGCCGGGCTTGGGGAGTAGAAGAACTCCCAGAACCCCATCAACCAGGTATCAACCAGGTATCAACCAGGTATCAAGACCGAACTTAAACACAAACAGCTGTCTTCTCCCCTTAGCTCATTTTCCACCAAACACTTCCCATTTACACACGGAAATGAAGAGCGTTTTACGTCTGTTTACAAATAACTTAAAGTGACTTAAGAGGATCAGAACGATCAACGAATCCCGGACATTAGGAATATTTTTGATACACTGAAGGATTGCTGACGAAATGGTTAATAGATTTCAGCCCAGATAAGAGCAACGTCATGAGGATGGAGGCAGGAGATAGGAAGACAGAGGAAGAATTCATAATGAAATAGAGGAACTTAAGTGTATGGTAATGATAAGAATAACAGATGATCAGCAGGAGAGAATACAATGAA